GCCGATAATTAGGAGACATGTATATACACATATATATTGTATGAAATGTTCGTTTGCTTGTCTGTCCGTTCGGTTTTGCTTGCTTCTGCAAGACAAAGGTGTAGTGTACATAGCAGGGGTACGACCATCCCTGCGAGTCAGGTGCCCAAGAACCGCACAGTCTCCAGAGGCGACGCCACCGCCGAGTGCAGTGGATACACCGCCTGCGGCAAGGCGCAGCTTCTATCTCAAAACCACAGAAGCTTTTTTATGGAGCTTCGGAATCTAGGGATGACAAACACCCGAAATGTGGAGATCCCAGCCTCTGGACGATAACAATAAGAACCGCCTTAGGATGCCAGAAGGCTTCAAGCTCAGGTGCCGAAGGCCAGTAGGTAAGCACGGCCCTGAACCGAGGCTCCGACTATAAGAAATGACAAGCAAGCTATGGACGCCTGGCACCGGACGGGAAAAACTGGCCGAGCAGCTCGGATGCGAGGAACCAACATGTCTATAGTTCGATTGGCAAGTTGAAGCTCACGCTAACACGCCCTGCCAAGCTTGGCCGAAGCAGCCAACGTAAGAGCCGCCCCACCGAGGAGTGCCTGGCAGTGCCACAAGTTCTGCTGATCTCTACAAAGGTCCTTTTTAGGGATCCTCAAATTAAAGTGTGCCCGTGTTCACTCACGTACCTTGAGTGAAGCCGCAATCCTACACTCTCTGCAGGTTTCACTCACAGCAAGCTTCTGCAGCACGAAGCTGTCAAACTAACACGCTCAGGCAGCTGCAAATGGTCCGAGGGAAGATCCCACCTAAGTTGTCGAAGCTCCATCCAAACGACCATCAATCTTGCCTCCGTGTGAAGCTCTCACGCACACGATCCAAAGAGTCAAAGAGCATAGCTTGTCCTACACTCCAGGTTACTTCTGTCAACAAACCGCTCTATGAAAACCTCGCCGACCTGATACGCAGCATGAAACTCCTTGTGACAGGCAGGCAACGATGAAGGGCAAAAGAAGGAGCAACCATGGCAGCAGCAGCCACCTGGCACGGTTTGCAACTGCAATCTCAGCTTCCAGAAAGCTTTTTGCGGCGGAAGAGACCCCTCCACGTCTCCCAATCAAACTCTGCCCAGTCTCGGGCGCAGTGCTGGCAAAACACCAGGAATGGTGTTGTCAAAGCTCTTGACGGACGTGTGAGTCAACAGCGATGCAATTCGAAGGAACCTTCCTTCTATTTAATGCTCTCGACGGGATTCCGTAACTGCAGCCTCATGGGGTGGCCCTGCGGAAGCAAAATCCGCGAGTTCTGCAAGCTCTCGGAAGGACTGGGATGGACCTGCACAGCTCTGATACACCCTAATGCAATTACAACAATGTGAAGGACCGGAGGAACAATCGAGCACAGGGCAATGATCTAAGCAACCTAGAGGTCAACGGCTCGAGGTTGTGCTTTGTGGTCAGCCCGAAGAAGATGCAGATGTGCAAGCCATGCTGTTTGATCGCTTTTGCCGCTTCATCAGAAGAGACGCACCTCTTGGCAACAAGCTGCTATGCTGCTGCTAAGGCAGCTGCTGCTACAGACTCCTGGTGGATGCACTTGCTTTTGGCAGAGTGCCTTTGTGCCAAAAAATCGAGTCCGGTTCTATCTATCTCTGTCCTGATCAAGTTGTTCAAACGCGCTAGGCACAAGAGACTGGGAAGTCAGACGTCAGGTGTTTGCATGTGCTATAGGAATGTCTCCGTGCACTAGCGGTGTCTCATCACAAGACAAGAGACAGTGATAGTGTACACATGGATGGGTGAATAAATTTACATGTATTGCACATCGTGCACATCGTCTGAAAATGAATCTAAGGCTCCTCTGGCAAGGTGTCGATCCGCTGATACCTCGGCGCCATGGCACAAAGTAGCTCGCCGGTGTTCAGTGTTCATTCAGTTCATTCGTCAGATATTTTCAGGGGTGGTCTGGCGGCAAATCGCAAAGCAGGCGGAATGTGAGACAAGATGCCGTAGAGAAGTTGAACCAGTTGGACCCAAAGGCTCGGATTGTGAGCCCAGCCCTCAGCCGAAGCGAAACTCACTACATTGCTCAAGAAGTCGAACTTTCGAGACTCGAGACTCATGCCTCCACCCCTAGGCGTGCTGCCCTTCACCAAATTGTCCTATTTTAAGGTGGGAGTCTGTCTCTGGCATACTTGATCATTGTAGATGCCGGTTCCTCAGCTTGTGCCATGAGGCGAAGCCAAACAAGTAAATGAACACATCATGCTGAGGTGATCCAACAAAACACAACATGGCTGGGCAAGCCGAGATTCCAAAAGCTCGTTGACAAGCGGCGCCTCCTGATGTCTCACGCAACCGCATCATGCTGAAACAGTGCTCCCACGTTGATAGCCTTGCACCTGCCACCCTCCTTCCCAAATGTCCTTGTGGATGTGCACTTTCAGTGGGAAGAGTTCCTCAGAGACTTCGCTTGTGTCGTCCTGTGTCAATGCCAATCCCACTGCCAGCTGTCCATGCCAGAGCGACGTGTGATACGTGCTGACTGACATCTGCATTTAAAGTGTGGCTGCCTTCGCTTACGGCCTGGTGCATCTTCACTTAAGCGCTCACTTGAAGATCCGGTCCCACTTCCGGATGAGGAAAGAGCCGATCGAAAGGACACCCCCCAGCTGCAGCAGCTTGTTGTTGCAGTCCCGGATGGTAAAATCTCTACCTTGCAAGTTGCACAGGCTTCTATTCACAAAACACAGCTGGGCCTGTCAGCTGAGTGAGGCATGATGTCCAAGTCAACGAAAACTCAGCTTCGCAAGCGCTCGATACGACTACCTATGATGATGAATATCGGGAGCTATGTTGTGCGCCACGGCAACCAATATTAACACGTCAACGGCTGCATGACAACTTCGTGCGAAAATGTTTCCTGCGACCAACGCCTGAAAGAATCGCATTAGCAAGATCAAGGCATAAGTTGGTTGCTTGCAGAACACAGGAATGTCGGCATCAGGAATGTGACTCACAATCTGCCGTTGGACGAGCAGACGCAATCTGCGAGCTCACCTTGCAGACGTGAACCCACAAACGTGCCCACTCGGCAAGCGCTGCTTTCACGGTATGTGGCTCAAATGCCAGCAAGCGATAGCAAGCGGGTCGACAAAGACTTAACACGTCGCTGCAACATGGCATCGTCAAGCAGTGCTTTCACATCGAAAGCTGGAGCCAAAGACATGGAAACCTGAATGGCTTTATTGACCTGCACCTGGCAATGGATCAAGTCGGTCCGCACGGCAACAGGTTTCAGCATGCCTTGCGTCAAGATGCCAGGGGCACGCGCCGACGGTTTGCTGAACTTCGGACGGGACTCCATCTGCCCAACTTGCAACAAACCTCTTGTGATAACATAACCACTGGATCTGCAATTCATGCCTGTTTATCTTTGCTGCACCAAAACTGCCCAAGCCTGACAGCAAGAGCAATTGTGAGAACCTTCTGGCAGTGAACTTGAAAATGCAGTGGACCACAAGCGACTTTCCCGTTCGAACGGTCAGTGTCTCCGCACCATCAACTAAGCCTAAGACATTGCTTAGATGTTGCGGGAAAAGACTCAGAGCAATGTTACAGACATCAATCAGGTAAGTAAACGGGATTACGATTTGACTGATGGCCGGTGGACTATGACTACTTTGATGTATAGGCAGGCCCTTCCGCTCCCGCTTTCCCTCCCTCCCTCCCACCGCTCCCACCTCACCTACAACCCACCTCCTCCCACCTCCCACCCCTCACCTCCCCGAAAGGAGGAAAGGCGGGAGGTTTGGGAGTTTGGGAGGGTGGGGGGGTGGGAGGCAAAGGCACCCCCACTCCCAACTCCGAGGTTCGCCACGGCTTGGGAAGTAGACCGCGCGTGCGAAGTTGACCCAGCAGCGTCACTGGGAATCTCGCCGGCAAAGAAACCCAACTCTTCGCAACAGAGGAAGTGAAGTAGAGCGAGCATTGCGGATGACGACTCGCCTAGTATATACTGTATCCAAGGCCCTGTTGGGAGCAGCAAAGCCACCCCACCTCCGCCCACCCCCCCACCGTCAGGGTGATATGGGATGGAGGTGGGATGGGGGTGGGATGGGGGTGGTGGGGTCGGAGGTGGGAGGTGGGGAGGGGGAGGAGGCAGGCGAGGCGGAAGGTGGGAAGTGAGGTGGAACGGGTGGGAGGGTGAGGGTGAGGTGGGAATTGGGGTGGCGGGAGAGGGAGGAGGGGTGGCGGGGTGGGAAACCGAACGTACCGGAAGTCCCACAAGAAGTGCCATTACATACGGCACAACTTCACGGAAGTTTTGCCATCGACCGAACCGCCCGACGACAAATCGCTAACGCTGAGTTGTCGCAAACAACAACAGCATTGATTTCACGGCTCCAATTAGTTATTATTCGATGTCTGCATTCTGTATATTCCTCAGACCCGTCCAGAAGAAACTCGAAAGGTCCGCTTTGAATGGTCTAGTGGAGTGATTGTTCGAAGCGAGCAAATGGTGGATGCGGGAGTTGTGTTCAGCTTACCTACACTACTGGTCCAGCATGCATCTCAATGAACTCAAGCTTTGGCAACATTACATGCCTGGATCTGCCACTTCTCCAGAAACACATGAGCACCTGTCAGATTGCCATCGACCTTGCATTCCAAGGCGCCTTCTTTGTGTGGATCTAGCTGATGGAATCTGAGAACCTGTAAAATCTCTGTCTTCGGATCCTGAGACTCTCCCGTCTAACTTTGGCGCCGCTTGGGAGAGCTAGCCACAGTCCCAAACTGCCGTGGAGCCTTCCAACCAGTATTCCAGGCTATTTGTATTGTCTCATCCTCTTCTGCATGCTCCTCTCGAAGTCAGCCGGTTTCCAGACGGATGATCATGAGGACTCGAAGCAGTCTGCTGCCTAGGGTTTGGCGATTGAAACCCATCACTTCTATGACAGACCTGCTCGTGCTTCTGGATGACGCCAACGAGTAGGACAGTGAGAAGTGCCAGGCATCCAACATTGATAATGATCCTCCGATCTTCAGGAGTGTTGAGCTTCACTGCTGAGTTCAAGAGGTCTTGACAGCTATGGTCTACAGCAACAGAGCAGCACTTGCCTGAAAATTCCCATGACGAGACAAGCGGCAGCGCCAAGTGGGTGGCTTGCGACCGCTTCGGGCTCGTGAGATCTGAGGCCTTCGGACGGAGCCGGAGCGCAAGCATCGCCAGCCCTTGCCCTCAGAAGGCCTGTGCAGTGCTGAAGGTCCAGAACGCCACGGGGACCGCCGAGCCTGGAACCAAGCAGACAGAGGCTGAAGCGGGGTAAAGGTGCCTTCGGCATCCGCTTCACGCCCCTTGAGTCCTGCCTAAACATCCGATGGCATACTCATGCACTGCCTCAGTAACAGATCACCATGGTACAATTCCTGACAGCATCGTGCATAAAGAGCCATCAGCACTCCTAGTCCCATGAGGCTGCCAAGGAACCAAAGTCGTCATTGCGCAAGCGTAGTCAAAGACTTCCGCTGGCAGAATTGGCAAGCTCCGTGCCATGAAGACAATCTTCACTCCTTGCCGTACCGAAATGTGATGCTATCCGGAAGAGTGCGGGAATGTTTCTGCGGTCCACTGTTGCTGCTGTGTTTCACTTGTTGTAGTTGTAGCTGTATGTGCAGGTGCAGCTGCGTCTGCGGATGATTTTGCTGATGATTCATGTTGGTCCTATGCAATGCTTGCCACTGCTTCTGACAGGTATTTTTCGAGTGCCACTGCATCGGTGACCAGCCATGAAGAAAAACGTGGGACATGTTTTGCAAAGGAGTCGGTGAACAGTAGTGCAGGCGAGGTTCCCGCACCGTCGATGATGCCTCAGGCCACCCGACTGAGTTTACGAGACAGAACAGTCATAGCCTTCGCCCCACCACTCCAGATGTTCCCCAAACCATCTCCGCACTGCTGCAAAAGGTTGCTCTGTTGGCGGAATCGCCATCTGAAAGTAAATCAGGGATGAGCGAGCATTTGCCAGTCCAAGCGTCGGTTTAGCCGCCGCAGCACGCGGCTGTGCTTGCCTCGCATCCAAACGGATCAGTGGCAGGTGGTGAACTGCTTTTTGAACCACGCGATTTGGGCCAAGCCAACATGCGGGGTGAGTCGCTTGCTTTCCGGGCATAATCGTTCAGCAGCGTCTTGCCCAAAGCGAAGGCCAAGACACCTGTGCGCTTGTTGTGCTCCTTCTTGGCTACTTTAGTTTGCTAGCAGGCGTACGTCGAGGGTCTTCTCTACTTGCTACAGCACTGCGTCTAGCACCAAAGATCGGCACCATTCCGGCACTGTCGGTGCACTCCCCATCTTATTTGTGCGCCTCAAAGTTACAATATATGCTACAATAGCAGATGGCATGCCCCGAGATCTATCCCTCTCATTACAGCTCCGCCGTTGCACCTTCCAAGAGCAAGGCGCTGGCAACTCAGGACTCGACTGCCGACCCAAAGGCCACTGAAGACGACGCCGAAAGCAATCGCACCACCTGTGACGGCCTGCACCGAGGTGCGAGCTGTGACGCTGCTCTGAGGTAAAACTAATCAGGAGGCCTCTCCATCATTCAGTTTGGTAAACAATGGTCCAGAAAGTGCCATGACGGGGAAAACCGGCAGCATGATCACCTCACTGAGGCAGCATGACCCAGGCAGGCGATCTCAGACAAAACTGCCTGAGCCTTGTGCCGGGAGCACCGAAGAAACAAGGAAGAGAATCAGTGCTGACCACATGCCTATCGTCCGGCACCAGTGGACCAAACCTGGAAACATACAGCATCGCCAACACTGCAGAGTCGTCTAAGATGGCTAACTGCTGCCACTTTGCGTGAAATCAGACGACTGAGTCGATGATGATCGAGGATTCCATACCTCAAAGGACGGAGCTGAGCAGCTAAACTTAAAGCAGTGCTCTCGACTCACAGAATCAGATTCCGGGTGGCAGGAAAAACGCCACGATGAGGCAAACTCCCACTACAAGCCTCAAGGATCGCTGACACAAATTGCCATGGGTGAGGCATCGAGTAGTTGGCCGCGCCTGACATTCAGCTGGCTTTTCTCGATAACCCGGATCTTTGAGAAGTCCTCAGCACTTCGGAAACTGGGCTCAGGCAGCTTTGCAACACCTGGTCCCAGGCCTCCCGTTGCAGTCTTTCTTCTGAAGGGCTATCTTCGTGGCGCAGGGTGACGAGCAATTGCTGGTGCCTCCCCTCGCTGTCGTCGATGACCTCCTGGTAACCATACAGTCGCCGCTTTTTGAACTTACTGTTTGAATCCTCCGTTGCACCTGCTTATTATACAAGTAGCATTCACTTAAGATGAGGCGGGCTTGCGAGGCGGAGATTGTCAAGATGCAGTCCACCGGGCTCCTACTCACCAATTCGAGGCCTGTGGACGGTTCTAAGACTTCGCACACTTCAAAGAACTGTTCTCTTGTTTTGTTTCGTGAAGATGTAAACTGAGGCACAGTGTGCTGAGTGGGGGGGGGGGGGGCGAAAACACAGCATGATTTTAATCTAAGAACGCAGCATGTGCGCTCCTTCGTTTCACACCGTTTTGCCACGGCTTGCGCACTTCTCTGCATGTTTGCAGCCAAATGGCCTGAATGATCCCGGAAGTGTGCCTTCGGTAGTGATGAAAAGGCTGGATCAATTCAATCTCGCTGCCTGCAGGGCACGAGACGCCCCATTGCCGATGACTGGGACGGGTTTCTTGGCGCGCAGAACCCAGCCTGCTTTGAATCTGGCGCCTTTGGCATAGCAGGCCTCGGCTAAGTGCAATCTGCCTGAGGCTCTCAGCGGCAAAAGGCTGCAGTTTGAAGACACTTGTGAGGACTCTCTGCGGGCACTTCTGTAAATATAAGCGTGCCACCTGGCACACATCCCAAACGCATCGCTCGCAGGACCAGAATAACTCGCCCTGAACGATCTTCCGCCGGCAGAAATCGCAGACCTTGGATTCAGTTCACTAGACACCACAACTCTGCCAGGGTCTTGCAAGTGCAGACACAATAGGCCAACACTGCTCTCATCATGCATGTTTCAACGAAGGCTCAAATCTGTTGCTCTTTTTCGCTTCCATCTGGTGCAGCATGTGGTTGTGCAAACATCTGCGGTCATTCTCCTCGCCTATGCCGACCTCGGCAGAGTGCAAGCAAGGAGGCCCTGCACTGCAGTACCTTCAAGTGGCGCGCCGTCTTGATCCCAATGTGCATGCACCGAATGTTTGATCGAAGGTTGAGGCTGTGAGCACTACCACGACCCTAGTGGCTTTGATCCTTAATGGAAACCCGTTCCTGGGCATAGCTCATCATTTGCATTGCTGCTTTGTTTTGGTGAGGATCCGTCGTCTCGTCCGAGTTAGTATTGCTGTGGAGTCACGAGCTCGTAGGAGTTCTGAAAGGAAGTCCAGGACCGGAAGCCTGCGCTGGACTCTGAGTCTCGCAGGAACTGGAAACCACTGAGAAAGCCCCCAGGAGCCTCGCTTGGTGGCGCGGGAGACCCCGCAACTCTCACTGATTTGGCTGCTTCTGCTGACCTGCTTCGCAACGAAAGCACCGTTCTGCCTAAACTGAAGAGCAACTAAGGCCGTGGCCGCCCTCTCTAAGCTCAGGCTGTCTAAGGTTCCGCTCCTCCCCTGGCACGGTGACACAGACACCTGCCCGCTTCTCCCCAGCGCGTCATTTGAGCGCAAGGAGATCTCGCCTTGTCAAAGACCAGGCTTTCGGAGCGCTCACACTGATTCGGCTCCATTGCATGGGGCCACGGCACTCTGCACACCGAGTCAAGTTATTAAAGGAACGCGACATTCGGCTACATGAGTACTGCGGCCCTCTCTTTTGTTGCGGATATTCCTCTGCGCTGCTACAATGTTCTTTCAACGATCCGGGCTCAGCTCTCCTCGACCATCCGGAATGCAAAGCAGCCGTCGGGCAAGCCAGGGAAGTCACCAAGCACGGCATCAGCCAGCTACCGTTGCGAAACGCTTGAGATCCTACTTTACCGTCTCGTGTCTCTGGCGGCTGAAAGCCGCCCCATGTACGAAGGCCTGGCAAACCAGAAGAACAGCGCGAAAGGGCCCGATGTGCTGCTCGGAACCAAGCTCAGCCTGGGACACGGAGAGCATGACATGGTGACATGGAGTTCTTTTCTCGGGATCGCAGAAAGCCACAGGCCCCCATAGACTGCCCCCAAGACTGATCTGCATTAGCAAACGGGTGCCTCGGCGTTGATGGCAGCAACCTGCTTGGCAGAATCCGCTCACTCCCGCGGTTTCCCCCGAAAGGCCCGCCTTGCAGGAAGCTGTCGAGACTTGGTCGGGAAGCTCGATGACTGTGTGAATTCCTGGAGGGAACACGTCGATCTGTAGACTTTGAAGCCTCAAACTGCATTCTGGACCTTCCTGGACCTATGATCTCCACAAGTCCTACAGGACCCAGCATTCCGACAGACCGCATGCTAAATCTTTCCGTTGCTCTCCGCACCTTGCACTGTCTTGTTCTTTATCCTTGGCTGCACAGACAGCGCGACAGCTTCGTCGAAGAAAGTTCGAAGCCAAGGCACCGGAACGGCTGTCCGAGCACATACACGTGGAATCGCGGTCGGCCGGTGAGCGGATTCTCGTCACGGTAGCCTGAAGCTGGGGGGACCAAGGAGTCTGTAGATGTCATTATAAAATGTCAAGCTGTGCTTCGCCAAGCTGCTCCATTCCAGGTCGCTTTGGTTCAGAAAGGTGGCCTTCAATCTTCGGACTGCATGGCCACTTGTGAGGGCAGCCACATCAAGGTGCGGATCTTGACATGAGTCGTCCTTCCTGCAAGTCACTGAAAATGATTCGTGCAGCAAAGGCTCCACTTCTGGAATGATGGGAATGTACAGCTTCGACATCTGGAAGGATACAGGTGCTGCGTTCGCGGGCACCTGACATGCAGGCGCTTTCGAAAACCTTTCCCACTCAAGAGCTTGCAGAGTTTCGCTGAGAGAGAAGATCTGCATTGTCTTCCAAGAGCTCTCAGGTCGCGATGTCACTCTGTCAAGCCTCTAGCTCCACGAGGTCGACGTCCATCACCGGCAATTTTGGCCTCTCTTCCTCCTCTCCAGCTCAGCAGATCTCAGCATTTCAGCACACTTCCCTTGAAGGGTAGCGAATCGGACGTTGCCCTGGCGGCCTCGTGGCGACCCAACCACGCCCAGGACGGGGTGGCAACCGCGACGAAGAGCATGCATAGACTGCAAAGGCCCGCAGACCTGCGGAGGATAACAGTACACCGCAGGCCCGCAAGCTCGAAACGCCTTCTTTGAATCACACTCCCCTCCCATGCTGACCCAACCCCCCTTCCGTTGAATAGGCTGGTGGCTTTCAGGTGGTACTACAGTAACTAGTAAGCCAGTGCAAGTCACACCACGCCGCCAGATTTAAATCACTGCTCAGGCCCTTGAGCTGTGCCTGAAGGCTCGCTTGGCCGGCCGTCCTCGCATCCAGTGCCGCGCTGGCCGGGCAATCACTTCGGCCTGGGCGTCTTCTGCGAAGCCCGTGAGGTCCCGAGAGAAGCAGTTCGCAAGCACGTCAACACGAACCTGTGTGTATGTGTCTGTGCGTATGTGTATACAAGGTATGCACGTATATGCGTGGATGTGCGTACGTGTACATGTTTGCGTATATACGTACACATCTACATACATGCATACATACGTCCATCCGGTTCTCCATTCGCCGACCGCCCCCCATCCCCATGGTATCATGGTATCCCCCACACACGCCCGGGTGCAAGCATGCCGACTCCCTGTGACTGCGCTTGTGACGGTGGAGGCTTTCCAACCCCAACGTGAGGGTATTAAAATGCAACTGTCGCGAGGACCGAGTTCCTGATAGGCCCGGTTCCTGTGACAGTTGACCCGAGAAAGGAATCGAATGCTGATGATGATCATGATCATGACCATGATCATGTCATGACCATGCTCATGTCATGACCATGATGATCATGTCATGACCATGATGATCATGATGACCCCAAACCCCCACCCCCCCCCCGAAGCAGACGCATACCCCGAACTACACCACAC